GCACGATTCGAATGTGCGCGAAATTTGTCGTGCGGGATGACCCGGGAACGTGCAGACACACACAACGCACGCAGAGCTCGCCGATGCTCTCTGTTACCAAACAAGGCGCGAGGTGCCAAGTACAGGTAAGCCACAATCCGCGAAGCTCATTGAACCATTATGTCCGCGACCCGGGGACGCTCACTATTATTCCAGATACATCGTGTACAATTGTGTGTTCCGCGAGAGAACCGTTCCTATTTTGAATTTAGCAGCGTCTCGCCGTCCGTAGACGAGCGCCTCTAACCCGGCCGCGGAATTTCGAATGCGCGGCTCTCCAAACGAAGTCGTTAAAAAATAGAGATGTGCGAACTATTCGAATTCGAATCCGAATAATTCGAAAATTTCGAATCGAAGATTCAATTACGAGTCAAATATATTAGCGTGCATTATATTTGCATGCATCAAGTACAAAACGAGACATCTGGGCCTGTATGTTTGAACCCTTAACTTGTAATTAACTTAATTTATAATTAATAACTTAATTATAAATTACTTTAAATATTTAAATATATATTTTACTTTAAGATGATATTACAATATCAATATCCCTTTTCATATTAAAACCTTCCATCATTATGTGCATGTTTAATAGTCATGTTAAATTTTTTAATGATTCGACTCGATTCGAATTCGAATGAAATTTCATAGATTCGATTCATAGATTCGATTCGAATTCGAATTAAAAAAATGAGATGCCATTCGATTCGATTCGACATAAAAATTCTTGATTCGCACATCTCTAGTAAAAAACAAAGGTACCGCGGTACCAAGGTACTTTCGGAAGGCGACGGCGGCGGCGGCGGCGGATGCGATCATCCATCCAGATGTTTAAATCGATATTAGTGTGCCTTCGCCTATTTGGAGTTCATCGCCTCTTCCTACCGTACTATCACTTCCAAACGTATGAGCAAAAAGATTAAATCATAATGTAAAATTCAAATTTAACTTTCCATATATGTGACAGAGTCGAGCTGTACGGAATTGCGCGCGGGTACTTCGACGAATATACGCGCATCCCTTGTAGAAATTTATTACCGGCTGTAATAATTTGGCCAATAATAATAAGTCATTTTATTTCCCGCACGAATAATTATTACAGCAAATTTATTACGGTAATAAATTTCTGTTAGGGATATAACATCCACGGCATGATGTTCGAAAATATCAAGACATGAAGCATCTCTCTCCCTCTCTCTCTTTCTCTTTTTCTCTGCTCCCCCCCTCTCTCTCTCTCTCTCTCTCTTTTCTCTTACACGAGTCCTCCGACATGAAATATTGCGATAACGATGCAGCGAGCTGATCGCGGTAAAACTTGTCCGAGCAGGAATATATTACGAAAGCGAGCGTCCGCTCAGCTGCCAATTGTCGTTGGCGCTCTCGCGCGATTAATGTTATTGTTATCGACGCAGCGCGAGGTGTGTACCGGCTCTCGAGCGTCTTGAGAAATGCCACGAAGGAGAATGCGATATCAACAGCCCGGAGTGGCCGAGAGAAAGAGAGAGAGAGAGAGAGAGAGAAAGAGGGGGAGAGAGAGAGAGAGAGAAAAGTCGCGACTGACTGACTTGCTTGCGAAAAAAGCGGTAAGCTCTTGCTTACTGGGACGCGAGAGCTGAAAACTTTATTCCAACGGCGTGTGGAAACTCGCAAAAACTGGAGCAACGGCTCGCGCCGCGCGCGCGCGCGGGTCGTACCCCGCGTTAAATTGAATTTGGAATGAGCTCCCTCCTTCCCGCTGCCCGCCCCGTGCAGATCCTTCTGCTCGCGCTTAGGAGAACTTATTACGCCGGATTTCACGCAACGCCAGTGAAATATTCGCCAACGTCCGCCGCGAGACCCTCCTCGCTACACCAAGCGGTCGCCGCACTACTTTTCGAGAATGGAATAATTTTACTCCTCCGAGAGAGTACCCACGACCGACTGACAAAAATGTCCACGAGAGAGAGAGAGAGAGAGAGAGAGAGAGAGAGAGAGAGAGAGAGAGAGAGAGAGAGAGATATTCAATTCGTTGATTAGCCAGACCGAGCGTCAAATTTGCATTCCATTCTTCTTTTCTTTTACGGGTTAATCATTCGCTCGGATAGTCATCGTGCGCCACGCCTGTCAACGTCGATGAACGAATGACCCGAAGACGCGGCAATGATACTCCATACAGACCGCGACGCGGAACGATGTATCGAAGTGAAGCGACGGATGAGTCGGCCGGGCGCGAAACGCAGGCACGTCTCGACTTTCATTTGTTGCTCCGTCGTGTTTATGTTGCTTTAAAAGTCGTCGCGTTATCGCGAGTAAAAAGTCCCGCGGCGTGCGTCGCGAGGCAAAGTCGACCTTGCTCTGCACCGGCCGCGAGTGCCGGTCGTTCGATCGTTCCGTTTTACTCTCTCGCGATGACACGAGTCTCGCCACGAGCTGAAGACGAGATCCGGACGAGGAGCGGAGCGCGAATCCGTGAGATTCGCGCCTTTTTTCCCACCGTCGTCGACTCCAACGACAGTCCTGGGACTGTATTCCGTACTCGTGTACCGATAGTTATCGGTGTCGTTAGCAGTATTGCGCAGCTTTTTTGTTATATGAAAGACCTGCGCAATGCCGCTTACGACACCGACAACTGTCGATATGCAGGTACGGAATACAGCCTCAGCAGCTGCATTCTGTAACTCGTTATTGGAGTTAACGACACTTTCGTTATCGTTGCGCAGCTTTACCGTATACCGTAGAAAAGCTGCACAACGATAACGAAAGTGTCGTTAACTCCAATAACGAATTACAGAATCCAGCTGCTGGAAGGATCCGCGTTAATTTGCAAATCGCGCCTCGTAGTCGCTCGTAGCGAGAAACACGTTTCTCCGATTATCGAAGCCGCTATTCGAGGCGATCGCCTCGACGAGATGCCCCAAACGAACGTACAACACACACTCTCTCTCTCTCTCTCTCTCTCTCTCTCTCTCTCTCTCACCCGCGGACGCGGTGCTCTTAATTTCTCGTCATCCATTGTCAAAAAAGCCGCAGCTCGCTCGCGAAAACGCAAAAACGCAAAAACAGCGCGTCGACGAAGAGCGCAGCGATGCTTCGTCCGCGGCGGGCAACGTTAGGGAAACATTCCACGCGTGATAACGCACTGCACGTACTCACCGATAACACCTGGCCTTCCTGTTCCTTCTTCCTCGCGTGCCTATGCAGCTCCTCGCACAGCGACGAGCCTCGGTCCGTTTCAACCCTTTCGACGGAGCGGCGCGGCTCGCTGACGGCGCGCGACCGGCCAGTACATCGTCGGCGCAATGCGTCGCCGGCGGCAGTTCCAAAGTGTCAGTTCCGGGAGGAGAGAGACGACGACGACGGAGCAGAGAGAGGGAGAGAGAGAGAGAGAGAGAGAGAGAGAGAGAGAGAGAGAGAGAGAGAGAGAGAGAGAGAGAGAGAGAGAGAGAGAGAGAGAGAGAGAGAGTGTCAGCTGGTCGGCGAGGGGGTTAAGGCGCGCGCGTGTGTATATACACGTAATACAGCACGGCGAGTTTCGCTGCGAGAGACACGAGTGCGCGCGTCTTCTCTCCCTCCCTCCCTCTCTTTCTCTGTCCGATATGTGTAACTCGCGGGCGAATTGCGCGTGGATAACAAGGAGAGGATATCTCGACAGGCGTCGTCGTCGCTGCGCGCCGGCCGGCCGGTGCGGTCCGCGTCGACGTAAACACATACACAACGGGCGCGTGTTAGGTGTCAGGTAGTGTTATCGCGCGCGATTTCTCTGTCGAGTCCTTGCGCTGCCAGCAGCGAGGGCGACTGAGGGAAAACCGATCGCAGCGATCGCCGAAGCGGCACGATGACGATTGTCGTCGCGACTCGGCCCGCCGTGCCGACATTTCGGCCCCGCGCTCGCTGGCGCCTCCTCACGGGCTCATCGACATCACCGCAACCCTTGCTCCCGGCGAACCCCGCGACCGGACGCGACACGGTGCGACGCGTTGCGTAACCGCGACGGCGAAGGGCTGCGCGCGGGACTTCCGGATGGCGGTGGCTGATCGAGTGAATGCGACGTCAAGTGCCGGCCAAGCTTGTGCCGGAGCTCGTCTTGCACGCTTTTGCATTGAAAATGTTGTCTTACTTTTGTCGCTCGTTGAGGTAAAAGCACCAATGCTGGAACCATGTATTTTATTCCAGACAGTTTTGTTATTTTTATTTTATTATTATATTATTTGCCCTTTAAATCGAATACTTAAGTTTCTAATTTAGAACGTGTGTGTGTGTATATATATATGTTGAAAATTTAAAAATATAATTTAAATATTAAACCTTTAAATACACATATTTATATAAAGACAAAAGTGATGAGATTGTTCAGAATTAGAGCTTAAATATTTAAGCTTCCAATATATATTCTACCTCGAATATTTAGATATAATCTGAACACTTTTCTTGAATATCTTCTTACATCAATTTATTTAAATATCAAATCTTGGAATATATGTACTTGCAAAGATCAAATAAGATAAGAAAAGTTCAGAGTCAGTCTAATATTTAAACATTCAACATAGAACATACACACACACACACATATATATATATTTATATTCTATTGTGTGAAAATTTAAATACATATATTTAAAATCTAAACAATAAAACTGTGTTCAGTAAAAATGTCAGTTAGGTACGCGTCCCAGCATATTGGTGCTTTTGCCTTATCTGCTGAAGAAAGATAGAATGGATACTTTCAACACAAAAAGATAAATGACAAATTCAGTCTTAGCGCGCAAAACTTGTAGCGGGTTTCTCGACATAAACCTCTTAATTACAGTGAATATAATAATAAAATAATATTTAACATGTTCCATATGCTCGAGACAAGTGTAATAAAAACAACGAAATAATAATATTTGCTCACAAAATTGCCAGCTGTCCAAAAAGTTGTCGGTTCTTTGTTTCGTGTACGAGTTACGGCGCGAATGAGATTAAACGTTGCTCCGTAAACGTTTCTTATTTAACAGTAATTTATTTTAAATTCGGTACAGTAGCTCATACGACCATTTAGAGTTCAATCGGCGTCCGAAAATCTCTCAAGGGCTATAATACAAAATACGCTCCCTCTCTTATCGACGGTAACAGGTCTTACGCATCTGCGTACGCGGAGCGTTTTATCATAAATATTTATTATTTGACTACAGGTCTTGGACAATCATTAACCAACAACGAGTAAATTGCTTTCCAGGAATTCATAGGGCGGTACTTCGAGGTTCAATGGTGCAGGCCCTTTCCTGATTCTGCCGCTGGCATCGTAGTGAGAACCATGGCACGGGCAGTAATAACCACCAAAGTCTCCCGCGTTAGCGATGGGTACGCAACCCAGATGTGTGCACACCCCCAGAACAACTAGCCACTTGGGGTCTTTCACTCGTGCGCTGTCCTCCTCCGGGTCACGAAGACTCGCGACATCCACCTGAGTTTCCTTCGAGATTTCTGTCCCTGACCTGCGAATTATCGAGAATAGCATATGCTCTGAGCATTGTCTCTGAATAAATTTGTTTCTCATCGCAACAGATTTTCACGACAAACTAAAGTCATAATAGATGCAGCAAATGCAAGAAAATCTAAGTAGATAAAATTGCGTAAAAGTTCTTGAGTCACTAGAAGAAGGTAGTTATGATCACCTGTGTCGTACAAACAGAGGCTTTCCACGCCATTTGAAGACTGCACTCTTTCCCTCAGGAATTGTGTCGAGCTTGATCTCAATCTTTGACATAGCAAGCACATCAGCTGATGCACTCAGCATGCTCACCATGTCATATACTAGCACCTTGGCACCATATACACTTGCCACACAGCCACCTAAATGGTGTTTAGAAAAAGAAACCAGATTATTGTTTCACTATGTTTAAATATCCTTGACTTTGTCGGATATCATTTACTTGCCAGCTGATATGAGATACGAGTAACCCTTCCGGGATGATGCGTTCTCTTTTGACTTTGAACTTGGATCTTTGGTTTCATCCCTGCGGTAATCTATAAAATCTGGAAACTGGATATCGGTATGCGCCAAACGCCGCTGATGCACCTGTGTACTGACTGTAAAAATAGTATCTAGGTTATATCATTGTTCTTATTAATGGTTCAATTTCATTCATTCATTGTTCATTAATGGTTCAATGGGGAGAATCCATCAGGATCTTCTCATTCAGATGTATAAGCAGTTTGTATAATTCATTTACTAATTTCCTGTCATCTTCAGCCTTACATGCAAATACATTTGTACGAGATTTAACAAGTACAGCTGGTTACAATGTTAAGTCATTTACACCGCTAAGTTTGAGCCTCACTATATTCAAGAGACACAGTCTACAATTCGATGTGACTGCTATACTTGTATCTACTATATTGTTAATGCTCTATTTCAGAGCAATGTCACAAGCACGAACTCGACTGATAGCGCAGCGGCCTGCTAAGTACGCAACTGTGCGAAATGATTATATAATCGCGAAGCGCGATTTAGCTGGATTTATCGGGAGGGAATATGATTGTACAGAGAACTCGTCCTCATAAAAAAGATTGTTTAATAGAGACGTACCTGCAACTCCCGAGCTTATGCATGTAGGTCCGCTAAGGAGATCCTGATAGAAACTTTGACTGTGAACCCGTACGACGGTAGGCGGAACGGCGACTTTTGGCTTCAGAACTTTACCGGTCGCGGCGACTGGCTTGCCGCCATTCGAGACAGCTGTGGCCGTTGCTCGCAGAAACGGCGAGAGCGTGGTCGACTTCGCGATCACATTCATTTTTACGGCTTAACAAATGAGTCGAGAGCGGAGGGCTCGTAGCCACGGGACGTCGCTACACTACGTTGCGCTGCGAGCCGCTGCCGTCGACGAGTGGCTGTCTGCGCAAGCGCGTTGCGCGACAGCTCCGAGAGGCGCTACTTTTGAGACTGACCGATCATCTTTTATCTGCGTCCTACCGCATTTCTTATATAATTACAACGGAATGGTTAAGATGTCCGATATTGTATATATTATGTTATATTGTAATACATTATATTATATGGCATTGCATTATATCACGCTGCATTATAACACATATGTTTATAGGATATAAATATAATTTGGAATAAGTTTTATTTTAAATATATAAACACGTAAGCATTCCTTGAGTTAATAATTCGAAGTTGAAATAATACTAAAATTGCGGTAGAAGACATATGTACAGAGTGTTTCACGAATTCCTCGCTCCGAGGAATTCATGGAGACATAGAGCGGATTAAGATAAATATAAAATTCCCATACCATTTTGATATTCCCAATAACTCTCGAGTTATTAATTATAAGAATGTAACGAATGAGCACGCGCCAAGATATCAAAAAAGCATCGAAGCCGCTCAGCTTAAAACGCGGTCCACTTGATATAGCGATTGTTGCCAGCGCGCGGCGAGGGGAAGGCAACAATACGCTACTACTTGTATTTTAACTCGCCGCTGTTCGTGTTTTATCGTCTTCGTAGTCTTCATCGTCTTCGTCGTTGTCGTATTCACCTTCGTCGTCGTCGTCTCCGTCGTTCTCGTCGTTATGGGCCGTGTTTCAAAATTCATTGCCAGTACTGAAAATATATAATTTGTGTCACGCAAACTATAACTTTTCAGCGCTGGCAGTGAATCTTGGAACACGGCCTTTGTCGTCTTCATCGTTTTCGTCTTCTTCGTCATTACTGTCTTCGTCGTAAAAATTGTTCTGCGACATCCTGTATACAGGGTGTCTCCTAACAATTGTTGCAGAGCTCGTGGAGATATAGAGCGGATTAATACAAACATAAAAGTCCCATACCGTTTTAGGATATTCTTAACAGTTATATGTTAGTCTTAGCAGTTAATAATTACAGAATTCTAACGAGTAAGCGCGCCGAGATGAATGATTGGAGAAGCGTCGCAGCCATTCGGGTCACAGCATGGCCTAGTCAATTCAGCAATTACTGGCAGCGTGCATTGAGAGACGTATGAGCGACGAGAGAAAACATGAATAGCGACGCATTGTCTTTCCCCTCGCCTAACAATGGCAATAATTGCTAGTTGTATTATCATGAGCGTAGCTAAAGCAATCGGTATTATCATTGCTCTTCAATTACCTCCGAGTCCTTCGGGCCCCTTTGATTGATATGAAAATTTACGCTAGGCTATCAGTCTTTGACGGTACTTAGAGTACTGCACAAATCACATCAAAGAAAAGCCTGAGAGCAGCCACCGGGCCGATTACACCGGGACAACTTTCTCTGCCGAATTCGACGCACCTTCTGAGAAAATGTGTGCACACTCAGAGAGGAACGTGAGAGTGGCAAACACGAAGTTTTCGACGACACGGACTTTCCGCACTGGGGAAAGGCGCCATTTGCATCCATTTTTAAAGGGGAAATACGATGCTACATTGAAAGTCGAGCATCATGCTGAGATTAGGGTTAATTTAGGACTATATTGAGGTAAAGCACGTCCCCGCATTTTGAGCCGTTTACGAGACAAAGACGCGTTCCTGTATCTTTAACCGATTAGGAGATATCGGAGGTTAAAATTTTTCAATTTCACTGTTAATATCTCCGATTCTACTGCAAATTGAGAGTCGAGCTTTATAGTGAGAATACGGTAGATATAAGAATATACTGCGGCAAAAGCGCGTTCCTGTATATTTAACCGTTTAGGAGATATCGAATGTTAAATATTTTAATTTTAATGTTAATACCTCCGTCTCTACTGGGAATTGAGAGCTTTATGGTGAGAATAGGGTTGACATAGGACTGTATTGTGGCAAAAGTACGTTCCTATATCTTGAGAAATTTAAGAGATACAGAAGATTACATTCTTAAATTATACTGTTAATATCTTTGTTTCTACTGGGAATTGAGAGCCCAGATTGATGTTGAGAATAGGGATAATATAGGACTATATTGTGGCAAAAGCGCGTTCCCGTATTTCGAGCCGATTAGGAGATATCGAAGATTAAAGTTTTCCAACCTTTCTCCGTTGATATCTCCGCTTCTACTGGGATTAGAGAGTCGTCCATGTAGTCGAAAATGTAGGGTTTTGAGAGGACTTTATTTTGGTGCCAGACCGAGGCCTGTATCTCTAACCGTTTAGGAGATATAGAAGGTTAAAGTTTTCCAGCCTTTCTCCGTCGATATCCAGCCTTCCTCCGTCGATATCTCCGCTTCTAATGGGAGTAGAGAGTCGTCCATGTAGTCGAAAATGTAGAGTTTTGAAAGGACTTTAATTTGGTGCCAGACCGAGGCCTGTATCTCTAACCGTTTAGGAGATATCGAAGGTTAAAGTTTTCCAGCCTTTCTCCGTCGATATCCAGCCTTCCTCCGTCGATATCTCCGCTTCTACTGGGAGTAGAGAGTCGTCACTTACGGCAAAATGTAGGGTTTTGAGAGGACTTTAATTTGGTGCCAGAACCAGGCCTGTATCTCTAACCGTTTAGGAGATATCGAAGGTTAAAGTTTTCCAAGCTTTCTCCGTTGATATCTCCGCTTCTACTGGGAGTAGAGAGTCGTCACTTACGGCAAAATGTAGGGTTTTGAGAGGACTTTAATTTGGTGCCAGAACCAGGCCTGTATCTCTAACCGTTTAGGAGATATCGAAGGTTAAAGTTTTCCAAGCTTTCTCCGTTGATATCTCCGCTTCTACTGGGAGTAGAGAGTCGTCACTTACGGCAAAATGTAGGGTTTTGAGAGGACTTTAATTTGGTGCCAGAACCAGGCCTGTATCTCTAACCGTTTAGGAGATATCGAAGGTTAAAGTTTTCCAAGCTTTCTCCGTTGATATCTCCGCTTCTACTGGGAGTAGAGAGTCGTCACTTACGGCAAAATGTAGGGTTTTGAGAGGACTTTAATTTGGTGCCAGAACCAGGCCTGTATCTCTAACCGTTTAGGAGATATCGAAGGTTAAAGTTTTCCAAGCTTTCTCCGTTGATATCTCCGCTTCTACTGGGAGTAGAGAGTCGTCACTTACGGCAAAATGTAGGGTTTTGAGAGGACTTTAATTTGGTGCCAGAACCAGGCCTGTATCTCTAACCGTTTAGGAGATATCGAAGGTTAAAGTTTTCCAAGCTTTCTCCAGTGATATCTCCGCTTCTACTGGGAGTAGAGAGTCGTCACTTACGGCAAAATGTAGGGTTTTGAGAGGACTTTAATTTGGTGTCAGAACCAGGCCTGTATCTCTAACCGTTTAGGAGATATCGACGGTTAAAGTTTTGCCACCTTTCTCCGTTGATATCTCCGCTTCTACTGGGAGTAGAGAGTCGTCCATGTAGTCGACTTGTAAGTCGACCATGTAAATTTATGATAAGATTAGGATTGGTATAGGACTACATTGTGTCAAGGTCGCGTTCCTGTATCTTGAACCGTTTAGGGGATATAGTAAGTTAAAATGATTAACTTGTGATGTTAATATCTCCGTTTCTACTGTGAATTGAAAGTCGAGCTTTATGGTCAAAGTAGGGTTGATATAGAACTATATTGCAAAAGAGCGTTCCTGTATCTTTAGACCTTTAGGAGATATCGAAGATTAAATATGCTATCGATGAGGTTCGCTTATAACTTCCATTTATCTCAAGAGCGCTTCTCGTGAACATTCCGTTCGAAAGGTTAGTCCACGATAAAAAGTTTCTTGCGATCTGTGGCCGCTGTTGTTTAAAGTTAAATTGCAGCAACAGTATTGTTATCGGTCAACCCTGAGACCGGCTGCTAACATCCATTTGTGACGTCTGCCGCGCCTTTGCGATTACCGATAAATTCAGTTTTCTTGATTGCTCGCGCGATTTCAAGTGGCCATAATATATGGCGAGAATACATGGCAATATATGGGAATGATATATGGTAATAATATACGGCAACAATATATGGCAACAATATATGGCAACAATATATGGCAACAATATGTGGCAACAATATATGGCATTAATATAGTACAATAATTCATGGAATATATTTTTCGTTACAAGAGTCAATGCAAATTTGCGGCATGCACAATGTAATAATAAAAGTAATAATAAAGTAATAATAAAAGTTCTTTCTGCGAGCTTTGAGTCAGACACTCACCAATGATGATATTGATGATGTCCTGTTGCATCCAACCAGATCCACCAATGTCCAGCCAAGTCCGCTGCCGCTCTCCATGTCGCGCAACATCCATCTTGCAGCTCGTCCCACGGTGATCGCTGCACTTTCATCACACTTCCGCGACGCGGTCGATACGCGGTATTGGAACGGCGATATTTACATCAATTAACGAACGTTTTACTCGCCATCGGTGGAAACTTTTTGCGCGCTGCGAAACGGACTCTATAAACTCGATCGGCGAGGAGTAAGAACCGTGTGCAAATTTATTGACTCGTCCAACGGATTTTTACAGTGCTTTTCGCGATTGCGTCTGAAAAGTCGCGAAAATGTGGGATTATCGATATCTACCAGTGAAATATTCGCGACGCGAATGCACGCGAGGAAAGATTAGACAATTAGAAACCGGTCGCCTTTAAGGAGCGCAAAGAGAGAGGAGCGGGGCAAAGTTTTCACGCATTATAGCTCCGTCACGACGAAGCTTACGTTCGCGATACTTTGGCGAAATGAGAATTTAAGTTTTCTTTGTTAGCAACGCGAGTAAAAACGCGTATATTGACAATCGCGGTCGCGATATTCAAAGGCACGCGAGCGAGGATACCTCAAGCTCGGCGTATGCTGGCGCAATTTCTGCGCGCATTATACGCTACTCGAGACAATAGGGATCGTGATGAATGGACAATATTGCCAAATAATTCTACAGCCTGTTTTGCAAATTAAAGAAAAGTAGCTAACGGTATCGGAATTTATGGATATGAATATATTTTATACGGACAATTGTATATTGTCAAATAATTAAATCATTAAATAATTCTGCGGCCCGCTTGAAAAATAAAAATAAAGCAGCTGATGACGATGTTGCGTTTGTACATATGAATATTCTCTTATTCAGATGACTGAACATCAAAAGAGAATCATTCAGTATTTTAAATTTTGTATGTAATGCAGGCTATCGATCAAGTAACCCCCTGATTGTTTCGAGCAACGTATTTTATTCAACGTCACAAATACACACATGCAAGAATCTATTTGCAATTCGCATTGACTCGAACGATATTTTTTAGTCCCACATCCGTCATGCAGAATTTTGTTTCTCTTTTCATTTTGACTCACCGAAACGACTTGCAGTCAGAGCCGGCCACGTTTCGCTTCAACTCTGTAACAAAAAATTCACATTTGCTCATCAGATTAACAGACCAAGATTTTGACTAACGAGTGCTGGCGAGTAAAAGAGTAGTTTACCCTCTGCGATTGTAATTCAAGTCGAGCCGGAAATTATATCCCAGTTCTAGATCGCCAAGGGTCAAACAGAGGACTAGTAAACTTGTAAACTTACCTTCAAGCCGACTCTGCTTGGCCCGAACCGGATCCTCCGGTGCGGCATCCGCGTCCACCAGATTGCTGTTGCTTTCCGCAACAACTGAAACAGAAAAATAATTTTCTCGGTTGATAACCTGCGGTAGAGAGAGAATATCTTTGATCGGATCGAATCAAAAATACGGATATATTTTGACACGGAATTTTTATCTTTACATTTTTGTTCCAACATTGAAAATTTAAATGGGACTTGAAGTTCTCAAGAGAGCTGATGAGGAACAAGTTACAAAGGCAAAGATCGTAAAGAGTTGAACACAGATGTGTAGGAAACTTGTAAACTTTACCTTCCGGCCAACCCTGCTCTGCTTGAACCGGATCCTCCGGTGCGGCATTCGCGTCCGCCGGACTTGCTTCCCGCAACGTCTGGAACAAAAATTTAGTGTTCTTGGTTGGTAAGCTGCGGTAGAGAAAGAATTTGGTCGGGATGAGTGGAGAATATTCGCTATGATTTTTGTTCTTCATTGATATTGAATGTCAAGATAAGAGCTCTTGAAAGAGCTGACGAAAAAAAATGACAATAAGAAGCGGAGACAACAGTTGTGTGCTCTCGAAAATACTCTTTTACAAATGGACATTTAAATTTAGATCCCGTGACAAGAGTAAACAGACTTGAAAAAAGCGCTGACCGAAAACAAAAAAGGTCGCAGTCTAAGAAGCGGTGTGACGTTGAATATTCTACACAAGACCGGTATACTCACACAGTTGAGAATTATTCAGAATGTTTAATTGAGAACATGATGAATTAGAGATCCGCCTTCATGTACCGTTATCTGTCTCTGTCTGGATCAATATCTCTTGTATACAACAACGCAATAAATAATTAGACAGACAGAGATTGACGAGAGTAATTGCAGATTCATAAAGTCATGATTACTAGTCGGGTGATGACGGATTGTGAATGCCGAGCGTGAAATTCCGACTTCTTATTCCCGGAAAATTCGTCAAACGTCCGCTCTCGTTATCGGAGACCTCCCGCATAATAAATGATTCCACATACCTGGAAACATGACGTATTGCTGCCGGCATCCTGCTTCTCGGCTGCTGGAGTCCTCCGGATTTCACTCGCTCACGCTTCTAATGTCGGTACTCGCGATTCGACCGTGTGGTTAATCAACGCGATGCCGACGCGATGCCGATTGAGTATCTCGAGGACCGACGAGATACATTTCGTTCAATTACACGAGACGGAAGTGACGAGCGCGTCGCGCACGGCTGCTGTTGATGGAATGAGGTTGAATACACGAGGTGCGTGAGTATTATAATACGAAGGGCAAAAAGTGTCGTCGCTCGCAAGCCGATCAACACAATCGGCGCGATGTAAATATTGCGGGCCTCGGCGGCGGTTGAAGCAAGAGAGACTTGCCCTTGGGCGTCTCTTCTTTTCTCGAAGGTTCCGAAGCGACGAAGGGAATATTAGGAGGCCTTTCAACTGTACGCGACATTGATGCACTCTATTTATTGATTACTGAAAATAAAGAAAATTACTCTGTCGAGGCATTGGACATTTGTCAACTTTATGTTAATTAAAGAGGAATGTGCACGATTAGAAAATGTGATAGCAACTAATTGTACAGAGTGTCAAAGTTGTTGTAACGCCGTTTTCGGAGAATAATTAAGGATCATGGTAGCGTTAAAGAGAGGAATTTCATCTCATGCGAATTTTGTCTCTTTCTCATTAAATGTTAGTCCTGTATAAAATGTCGTATTTAAAAGTATTGTTTCGCACTCACGAGATTTTGTCGTGAATTCTGCTTTGCGGAAATCTCAGATTGGATCGCGGGCCAATACTTTTCAATGCGACGGGGAATAGAACGTGAAAATCTTGTATGCCTCTGAATCCGAAAACAATTAGGAGAAGAAATGAATACTTTTCAATATGAAAGTCCGCATTTGAAAATTATCGATTGCGATTGAATACAAGGCACATTTGAAATGAATTGAATCCTTTTTAATACGAAACATTCACCACTGCCATCTCGCATTTAGCGCGGTGAAATTTAATGAGAACTAATACCTTTTAATCCCTTTCTTCGGATCAGAAACAGAATTCAGTTGTCAATATTCAAAATGTCAATACTTTTTAATATGTTTCAGTTCGACATTTTATACAGGGATATTATCCGCTGCGAACAATAACTCTTCTACTTTTCATCTAATATTCAATGATGATAAATAACATTTAATTGCATTCGTTTGGCTTTTTTATTTTGAAAATAAAAAAATATACCAGGGTGAGATTTCACCCATGACAACATCAACGTGATTTTCTTTGATGTTTTTTTTTTAAAGTTCAAATATTGCGTCGACTCGCGAGATATTTATAATCGGAGTCTCGTCGCGTTAATTAACACGTGCTGCTCCGAGCGGATCGAATGCTCACCAACGACCACTGTCAGTGCCACGAGCGAATGTCCGGAGCGGACGGGATGATGAATTGAGAAGCAGGACAAAGGGAACGGGACGCGGGCATCATGCGTTACATCATGCGTCTCCAGACATGTCAAATCGTTTATTATAGAGGAGACTTTGATACGGCAACATGTATTCGAAGATTTAACATTTAATACGTACTTCTATTTTTTCTGCCCCCCCTCTCCCCCACCGCTCTTTTTAGGCCTGCGGGCATAGTCTGATATAGAGATGGCGACTGTGGTTGCAGCACGGACATAAACCGCCTGAAAATGGATGTAGCACGGACTTCCACCACATGCAGATTTTACCACCGAGACCTGAAAGTGGATGTAGCATCGTAGTTCCCCTCTCAAAATGGATGCAGATGGCGTCCTTTCCTAGTGTGGAAAGTCGGTGTCGCAGAAAATGTCGTGTTGACCGCTCTCAGGTTTCTCTCTTGTTTAAGTTTCACTTAAAACCAAAATAATGTTGGTGCAACTGGGCCTTAATGTACTAAAGTGAACAAGAACCGTGCATGCTTTGCCGTTATCGTCAGGACAGGCGTAATGTGCACACATTTTCTAAAGCCCGTATCAGACTACGGATTGGGATTGAGTATTGGATTGAAATTTAACCAATCAGGAGTAAATTTACTATACTTGAGATTATTTTCTCTTTTTCAATTGGTCAAATTTCAATCTAATCTCAATCCCAATCCATAGTCTGATATGGGCTTTAGGGGGCATGTCGGAAAAAGCATCTTGATGTAACCGACTCGGTGGCCGCTCTCAGGTTTCTCTCTGGTCACTTATATGACTGGTGGCGGTTGGATGTGGTTCCTATAACTACGCATATTTTTTGATTGTGGGACTGCGTACGCGTTGTCCCTGTTTTTCTATTACTTTCATACCACTGGAAAATAGCGTATGGGCAAAGTTGAATGCAGTTCGGAGTCATATATTGAATTGAACTGCACTTATATGACAGGTAAATACGTGGTGGGGATAAAAAGCGTACGATGCATAGGTTAGGTTATCCGAAATATTATTTATTAGAAATTAAAATAGAATCAGAATTGTGCGAAAATTAACTTTTTCATAGTAATGAAGATGACAACAAAAAAGTTAATTTAGAAATAAGGGCGGTGATTCGCAAACAATATTATAGTTCGTCCTCGTCCAGAATTATTTAACGAATATGATGATATGGAATTTTTACGACGATTTTAAGACGATTTAGATTTTGCAAATGCACTGTTCAGATGATTTCCCTCTTTCTCTTTTTTTTTAGGTTCGGACGTCTATTAGCATAAATTATTAAAATATTATCATATATTTATTGCATATAAACATCTTACTTTACTTACGTTACATCTTACTTGTATTCTATTAATATAAAAATGTTTTAAACTAATGTAATTATATCTCGCTAGATTATAAAAGTTATGACTGTTTGATCTTCTTTTTTCAATATAACAATCTTAGATCACCATACCTTCAGCTCTTCCCGAGGAATATACAACTATATGGCACAAAACTGTTAGATTCATCAAGTTATGTATGTACCCTTGAAGTTGTACACTTGAAGTTGTTGACAAACGTCTCTGGAAGTAATTATCACGATATATCGCTTTTAAACCACAAATAATTACCAATAGAATGAATAACTGTGGAACAACGCTCATGTTTAAGTAATTGGTAAACTACCCGATAAAATTTATCTTATAAATAGTAATTTGTTAGATAAGCTGAAATTTATCGAAAAGTTGAACAACCGGGCCTAAAGGTCGTAAGAAGATAAAAAAAAATTCTTGAGTTTCCGACTTGTCGGTAGTTGAAACTACTTGTTTGCGGGACATTTTTAACCGTCTGACTCATCGTTGATTCGCGCTACTTGCCACTTTGTAGTTCCAAATACCAAAAAATCTTACGAGCAAGTAGTACAAATCAACAAGACAGATATGGTAAAAGATCTCCAATTGTCCGAGAACCGCATGAACTTTTACAGAAAACAAATTGAAGGACGGATTTGTAAATAAGAGTATTTATTTTCTCTAACAATCATCACAACGTAGTGCAAGGAGTAATACAGAACTTGTCTTCTACCGTTAAACTGACTGCGCTAGTTCTATATCTTCCTCCGTTTTCCAACAAATCTCAACCGCATACCTGTCTCTTTTCAAGCTCCGAAGGTGCGTATTAGCCCAGTGGTGCGATTCTTTAACTCGTTATTGGAGTTAACGACAGTTTCGTTATCGTTGCGCAGCTTTTCTACGGTATACAAAAGCTGCGCAACGAAAGTGTTGTTAACTCCAATAACGAGTTAAAGAATCGCGCCGCTGCAGCAGAAAAGAAACCTATTATGGCTGCGTTCCGATATTCACTGTCAGCACTGAGAATCTATAATATACGTGACGCATACTATATATTTTCAGTACTGACAGTGAATATCGGAACACAGCCTATAACGCGATACAGCGTTATGAACTTCACCGGTGGACACGTCACAAGGCAGCACGATCGAGATAAACAGCCCCAATTACGGACCTCGTGTCCGGCGCGCTGCTCACTATCACATGTGTGCGGGCTTATTGATATCATCTGTATACATCGGCCCACGATATATAGCTCACGCGAGCTGTCGTAAGAGAGACAGGTGAAGCATCAAGCTACAAAGTCGGCGCCGACACACGCGACGATCTCTCGCAGCGCAAACGAGAGGTGACTTCTTGAGAGCAGCCGAGAGTTACTTGCCGATCAGTCCGCTGCCGGTTTATCAAAATGTAACGACTCGCGCGTCACCGGGACGCGACACTTCTCTCCACTTCTTCTATCTTTAGCCGAGCGCGCAAACGAGTACCGGAGAATTCCAAAAAGCCGTAAACATGGCGGTCGCGAGCTCCTTCGACACCTGGCTCAGCGAGAAGCTCCAGGCTCTCAACACGGATGAGAGCGTCTTCGGTTCGTACATCAAGGGTATCCTCGAGGGCGACGAATCCCAGGACGAGAAGATCGAAGCGCTCGAGAGCATACTCGCGGGCATAACGGTGAGTAATCGGCACGCGCGGCCGCCTGAGCCGTTGAGGTTAGAACGCGCGCGGCGCCGGTCGAAAATAGACGTGAGCCAGCTCCGAAAGTACGTGCCGTAGCCTCCCGCGCGTCCTGCTCCGGTGATCTTCGTTCGCGCGAGCGTATCCCTGGTGATTCGCTTCGCGAACGTAAACATCGTTCATTGTGTTGTTACTATCGTCATGTTGTACCGTCACATCAATCGAGACTCGTCAAAACGCGAAAGTTTTTTAATCAAGGGGGGAAATGTACAAATTGATATGTGACACGTGTAATTTTGACTGATATCCGTGAAGAGATGCGTCTCGGTAATGTCTCAGAGTGGCAATGGCATTACTACAAGACACTTAACTTAGGTTGTTTTTGTTTGGAACCATGTAATGTAACGAAGCAATGACAAAACTTGGTTACGATATAGGAGGACAATATCAACAAACATGTAATGGAGATATTAAATGCATGGACGGAATGGCTGCCATCGCAGGACGTAGCCGCAGCAACCATACCGACGGAGGACGTCGACGTTCGACTGGCACGAATGCTCGAGTCGCAGTGTCTACCCACAACAACGCAGAGAAGTTACACAGAGGAAGAGAGACGAATTCGAGAAGCCATTCTAGCACAGTACAGTCAAATGTCCGACGAAGAGAATAGCGAAGCAGATGGAGAAGAAGACGGTGGCGGTGGAGATTGTGGGATTGAGAAGAACTTGAATGCAGCAACCATCATACAACAAGAGAGGGAAAAGAGAGAAAAAGCCAAGCTCGAGAGCCAGAAGAAGAAGGAGAAGGACAAAGAGGACAGGTAAAATTGCAGCAGGGACATATCCGTATCGTTTGATGTTATATGATAAAATAGTAAAAAGATCACCGAGTGTCATCTTTATATTTTTCAGGGAAAAGCAGAAGCAAATGAAAGAGGAGAAAAAGGAGAAGAGAAAAACCCAGAAGGGAGAGAGGCGAAGGTAGCATCGAAACGAGAGTGGTGTAGGATTTACCTCAAAATTGTGCGAACATCATCGAGTATATAACGCTCTGGCATTCATCATATATGTCTATCAACAGATATGTTTATCGTCGTACATACAACGATCTTTGACAACTATTTAAACCAATCACTGATCTTACATCTTTCACTAGACAGATATGTGTGTAGTACTCTTGTCATTGGAATCAAAGCGAATGCATACTTTGCAAGAAAATGATATATCTCTGCGACATAATGTTGGAATCATCTCCTGTGCCTTCTTTCATCTTCTGTCTGTCTTTCTCTTTCTCTCTGAAACATTGTCCCCTCTTTCGCAATATTTGTTACTTATTTGTATTTGTATTTTATTTTTTAAATGTGTCCTGATGTTTGTGTATTCAGAACTCGTGCCCCATGTCATATTTATTGCTATCGAGCAGTAAATCCGTTTTTATTTCTTATCAATATAATATTGAAATCCAATAGAATTTTTTATATTTCGATCATTGGACGATGAGAAACGATTCTGAATATCGATCACCTTGTACACACTTGTACACTTTGCGCATATTATGTTATATATATATATACACATACATACATACACCTATATGCATGTGTATATATATATATATTTCATTATATGAATTATGTATTTATAATAAATATGTTAACTATGTATATATATATATATGTGTATTTTTTAATTATTGATACATCTAATCTGGTAGTTCACTGCAGCTCCAATCAGAGTCTCCCAAGAAGAGCGTAAGCCATGTAAAATCAGCATCGGGTAGAATCACAAAAACACGCATTGCATTTGTATCTTTTATTAGTATATATTTACACACAAGATATACCGAGTCGAAACCGAGTCATCTTGGTATTGCATTAATAATGAAAGACAAACGCAGTAAGATAAAAACAAACGCGAACAAATGATACAAAATGATGATGATGCTTCAGTGTGTGTACGTGTGTATCGTGTGTTGTGTGTGAGCGTGTGTGTATGTATGTAGTGTGTATGTTGTATCTCATTACATATACATATATACTAATGTCATTATTAATAATCATTTTATTATTTAGCAATTCTCTCGTTTATACTATAGTTAAGTCGGGCAGAAATTGACGAACTCGCACTCGCACATTTGTCAACAAGACATCCGTAATTGTGAACGCTGAATTACAAATCGCTCTATGAACTCTCGACACACTTTCTCTCTCTCTCTCTCTCTCTCTCTCTCATTCCGCTTTTCCTCCTCGCGTGCCCGCGGATATCGTCGTTTCGCGTGGGTCCGCGTGGGTCCGAGAGACAAGATCTCTTCTCTACCTATACGGAGCAGAGGCCTCTAACGATTCACGACCTCCCCGGGTCGCTCGCGCGGAACGACGCGCGTGACCGACACTTACGATCCACCTAAACGGCACTGTGCGCTTCGTCGTCGCGGACTCCTCTCGCGTGCCCCCCGAGCGGGCTCCATTTTACGTTACGTATCAACGAGCTTCTCCTCGGACGTGAATCGCGCACTCTCTCGTCGCGCGCGCGATCGCTTGCATTTATTATCTAATGAAAACTTACTAACGCGTGTAATAAAACACAAACGCGCGTAAACGCTAATATGATTGTCCTACCAAGATGTGATCTACGAGGATCGGCCGTCGCGGAGGCGACTCTTCGCGATAACGAACGTACGCCCCCCTTCGGAGCGCTCTCACTCTCTTTCTCGCTCTTATCGGACGCGTCTTTATCCGTCGCAGCAAGGAGAAAAGGGCTGGTTGCGCGAACGGTACACCGCCGCCGTCCTGTACGCGCGCACGGTTGTTGTCACGCTAATTTAATGTTTCGAATAGCGTTTCTAATCGCGTCGTCGACTCGTTAATTAATTACACACACTGACCTAAAGGATATACACGCCGGAGTATTCCGCTTAATACCAATCAAGGGAATTTTATCTCCCTCTCTCTCTCTCTCTCTCACTCTCATTCTGTGTATGTGTGTATGCACATTTCTCTCTCTCTCTCTCTCTCTCTCTCTCTCTCTCTCTCTCTCTCTCTCTCTCTCAATCTTTCCCTCCCCTCTACCGCCGTGGTCGAACGAAACACGCGAAATTCCACAGCACGTTCGTTAGGTCCTGAACTAGAAAAAGCGACCGTCTCTCTGTCTCTCTCTCTCTCTCTTTTTCACCTCCGCCCCGCGTGCGACGATCGGAAAACCCGAAAGTCTCGCGGCGCAATGAATTTTGACCAGGTCGACGAGATCGAAAGAGTAAACTTCGGCTCGTCCTCGCGGTTCGCCCTTGATTCTCTGTTCGCTCGGATAGTATCGACGTAGTGTGAGCCTTGTCTACTCAAACTCACTCTCCTTCCTTGGTCTCGACTACTCTGATCTGAGCGCGTCGTTTCCTCGCGGGAACAGGAGCCGACAGATCGACCGAGTGAATCCTAAACTCGACACCAGTGGCATTGACGAGACCGATCGTCGCTCTCTCTTCTCGCTCTACGTGCGATGTTTCTTCTCGCGTTTCCCTTACACGTACACGCGGACGTACACGCGGCTTATGCTAAACGCCGGGTGTGTGTCGGTCGCGTGTACGCGCGTACATATGTGTGCGTGTGTGTGTGTGTCTGAGCTTACGGTGTGTGTCGCGTGTGTACGTGTGTGTATATGGTGATGCATATTATAATACGCAGATTACACAACGTCTCTTCTATACACATATATAATTTGATCCCGCTGTATACAGTAGTGAACACAACTAAAAACTTGAGACTGTACAATTGAACGCGTGTCCGGGGCTCCGTGGATGACAGAGCCCACCGCGCGTTTGTTCTTTGAACGCTCGTCTAATTATCCTCTACGTATCTTAGACTTAACTCGTTCTCTTGCTTCTCCCTGCGTGCTGTCGCTTAATGCGTAACGGTATATATTTATATATAATAGATATATGCGCATATCGTATGTCGTACACACATACACAGCACACATGCGTGCACACACACACACACTCTCTCTCTCTCTCTCTCTCTCTCTCTTTCTCTCATTCCATCGTTCGCACTCGCTATTCAAGGGAGCCTTTATCGCAAGCAAGTAAGCAAGTACACAACACGCACGCATACACACTTTCCCTTTCTCTCTCACGCATGCACACATGCGTACGCACACATACACACACAGTCGTCATCTTTATACATAATTTGATATATCTTGTTCGCTAAAAATCGTCGTCTTAGACACTACGCTCTCGTGAAACTTGTCGCCTGAAGTAATCGAACAAGGTGCTTTTACCCGAGTTTTCATGATGATGGTCGCTGATGATTGCTGCGTCGCGATCACTCGGATAACAGCTCGGCTAAACTACGAGTCCGCGAGAAGAAGATTGTGTGAGAATTGTGTGGATACGTATATTATGTAATAATAATATGCGCTACTTCGTCAGTCGTTCGGGCAGATTCGCCATTATGAATTATATATTTATATACGTAGTCCTTAACAATTAATACACTTCCACTTTTTCCTTCTCTTCCCCTCACTCTCTCTCTCTCTCTCGCGCGCGCGCTTATTGGCCATTCGTCGATCATGTCG